TTCTTTCTTTCTTTCTTTCTTTCTTTCTTTCTTTCTTTCTTTCTTTCTTTCTTTCTTTCTTTCTTTCTTTCTTTCTTTCTTTTAATTTAACCAGAGAGTGACACAGAGAAAGCTGCCAGGTCTGGGACTTGAACCACAGTCGGCCATGTGGGAGGCCAGAGCACTTAAGTACCATGCCACCTGCCAGCCCCAGAGAAGAATAACTTTTCTGTGCCATAACTAAATTATATATATTATAAACTACTTTGGAATCTGAGATCATTAAATCGAAAAAAAAAATTTAAATTAAAATGTAAAAAGTCTTAACATAAGAAAAACTGCCAACAGTGAAGTGTTTTGATAAGAAAAAATAAACAAAAGATTAGTGCCACCATAAATCCATGAAAATAAATGTTTTATTTCAGAGTCAAAACAAGTATGAGAATCTGGAAGGAAGTCCAGAAAGAAAATAATATCTTGTTCTTAGTTTTATTTTCATGGAAAAGGAAAGGCAAGGTTTTGGTGGTTTGTTGTAGTAAGAGAAGGGCAGAGCCAGAGATAGCGGAAACTTTTTCTGCAAGTCTGACACAGAGAGGAAGACCGGTCATACTGTAGACTGTGAGTCCTCCACATTTACAAGTGGGGGCCACTCCACAGGGAGGACGGAGGGATACAAGGTGCCCCACTGCATCTCAGGGATGGCGGCAAGGCTGGAGGCGAGAACAGGCGACCCAAAACAGGCTCCTGCTCCGTGCTTCGGTCTAACAAATGAAACAGACCCAGCCAAGAAGGCAAAGCACAGAAATAAGTGTGCAATGGGTTTCTAACTGGCACCGTGCTGTGCAATCAGTGCTTGTTTTTAATCAGCCATCAGGAACTCTCCATCCACTTCACCTTGATTGCACCAAGCTAGGGCACCCTCAGGGGCTCTTCCCTGCTGAGCTCCCCATTACCATCCCAGCAGCCCCACGGGGAGCTGTCTGTGTCACCTTCCAAACGGACCACACAGATCATCCCTTCTGTTCTAAGATGGCTCTCATTTTTTTGAGAAAGATTTTTGCTATAAGGTGTATGCGCTCACCAGAGACACAGAGAGACAGAAAGAGAAAGTGAGAAATCACCCCCCCAGCGGGGGACAGCCAAGCTGTGATCCCTTCTCCATTCTCTCTCTGGACTTTGGACACACACCACACGTGCCTGGCGTGAGGTTGAAGCCTCCAGGTCCGGGACTTGAACTGCAGTCAGCCATGCAGGAGTCCAGCACCATAACCACACCACCATCTCCTGGCCCCCATTTGTCACTAACCGTCACGTGATCCTCTAAAGGCACTATGTATTTAGCAACCCCAACAGTCACAGTGGGTGAAGAGGTTGGAAACATCACCACAAAAAGCACAGACAATCACATGGTGGGTAGTGACACCCTTATAATTGGGATGGAGAATATGACTCCCCCATACACAACTTCCCAGAAACCCTGAGCAGAGATATCAGAGTATCTATGTATACAAAATGTGAAGTATAGGGCCAGCTCATAACCTGGCAGTTAAAGGAGCTAGATCCCACATAGTCAATCATGACGGCCAAATCCTGGACCCGGAGGCTTGAAAAACGCCAGGTGCGTGTGCGTGTGCCCGAGATCTAACAGAGTGGAGAAACAGAGAAGGGACTGAACATGCCCCGTGGGAGGTGCTTTCTCCCTCTCCCTGTCTCTGGAGACTGCACACACTCTCTGGTAAAAATTTAAAGAAAATGTGTAATAAATAAGTTTATGTGTCCTACAAAAGTATGAAATTATAAAATGATCAGAAATGAAGGGAAAATGACTACCCTCACTGCAACATTTTAATCACACTTCAGTCTCGTGTGTTGATTATAATTAACCAGGTGGAGATTTCTAATTAGACAATTTAAGCAAAAATACTTTGACTATTCAAATAGCAGCAAAAATACCATTTGCTTGAAATTGTATTTGTGGTTCATGTGATTATTTTTTAGACAAATATTTATAGTGGTACATCCACTTTTAATTCTGAGAGACAAACGATTCATCCCTGCTAATACCACTCCATTTCCTGCCAAACTGGCTCTTTATTATTTAAACATAGCCCTAGTGGGTTAATATAACGAACCTAAGGAGAAATATAAAAAGGCTTTTAAAAGCTCAGAAAATGGAATCCAAAACCAACTTTATTTTGGTGCAAAAAGTTTTTGAAATCTATAGCATGTGCATGTGCCCCAAATTCCAAAAGAATAGAGGAGAAGGGAATTGCAAGGTGGTCATCCCTGCTGGGTGTGTGTGTGTGTGTGTGGGGGGGTGGGATTTCTCACTATCTCTCTGTTTCTGTCTCTTTGTTTCTGTCTCTCTGGCAAGCACATGGACCCTATAGCACAAATCTCTCTTTTAAAAAACAAAAAAAAAAAAAGAAGAAAAGAAAGTGTAAATGATTAGGATATCTAAAGGCAAATCATTTCCTTCTGAAAGTAACTACTTCTTTAATATGTAAACATTGATGGTTG